AAAAACTACAACAACCCCCCCACACAGCCCGGAAGACCCACACCAGCCATAGTTGGAGGTAAAGTTTCCCTTTCTTGGCCACTCAGGTAGGAATCATAACTTGTTGATTAAAAATTGGCAGCTGGTGAATGGAAGTAACATTTATCACAAATGAAAAGCTTGTATATTCAGATATGTACATGTCATGATTTGAAAAACCTTTTCAGTTTGTGACTTTCAAAGGCAGTGAAAGCCACACAATGACAGACTTCAGAACCAGTGCACTGTAGCATTCCCTATTGTGAGAAAGTACTAACGTTGGCCATATCAGAAACGACATGCATGGAACACCATTGGACTGTGTCTGGCATGAGAAATATGTATCTTCTAGATCTGAGATACATCCATTGATTGATTTTGTGCCATGAAGTTGTTTTTGACTCCTAGTGACCACATAGACAGATTTTCTCCATGGGATACATGGGTTGGAATAAACTGATGGCTTCTTTCAGTAGAATCCCAATCTATGAGCAGTTCTTGGTCTACATCTGCCTTGGCCACTTTATCTTACCTCACTTTCATCCCAAGTCACAAGAAGCATATGATTTTACTTTGTCTTTCCTGTACATTCTATAAGTGCAGGATTGCAGCCTGAAAAAGTACAGAATATCCAAGAGAGAGAGAGAGAGAACAACAACAACAAAGAGAAAAGAATTTGTATGGAGTAACCTCTCAGAAGGAAGTTCATCCTAGGATGTGAAACTATTTGGGATTGTTGGCTTTTTGTTCTGAACACCTTCCACATGTGAAATGAAGCGCTGAGACACTTACATATGTATTTCAGAGTGGAGGGCCTTAGGTTTCTTGGGCTAGCAGAATCAATAGTATGATTTCCTTCCTTCCTTCCTTCTTGGTAGTCCAGACAAGAATTACAACTATGAGTACTAACTCTATCTTTATTGTAAGGTTACATTAACAGAATTTTGCAAGACTTTTGTATTTCTCCCCTCCTCTCCTTTTACTGTCTGGAAAACTAGGGAGGGTCCCTTCTGAAATGCTTCCCCCACTTTCCCTCTCCTTCTGTGGACTGAGATATCTTTCACATGATGGTTGTCCAGTCTGTGGCTCTTCCTCCTGTCTCCTAAGGTCATTCCCACATACCATTATAACTTCCTTCTGCAATGCAGCACCACGAGACCCTAAAAAGCATCTGACGACTCCCATGTTAAATAAAATAGAATAATTTCATTGGCACAACCTGGATTAAATTTCCTGAGAATGTCAGCATTCTCACCTAAGATCTCATGAATTTTGGTCAAGGACACTGAAATCTCATTTTTTTAAAAAAACCAGGGCACCTCACATTTTCAAAAGTTGCCTACTCCTAATGTACAACATACCAACATTTAGATGGGTCCATAAATATTTGTAAATGGTAAATAATGATTTCCTTATTTCAGGTTTCCATTGTGATGAAAATCCACTAAGCATAGTTCCTAATTTTCTGGTTGCCTGGGAAAACTCCTGCGTGGTGATTCCATGCCACATCAATCAAATGCTCAGTTCTGGAACAGTCAATGCAACAGCCATAGTGTGGAATTTTAAGCCTTTTGGGAACAATACTTGGAGTGATGGTAAAACTATCCTGTTGTACAACAGTTCTCAGACTTCTGGAACCATCACAACTGTATCAGATGATGCTTTATCGAGCCGGACATGGTTCATTGGGAATTTATCCAACAGAGATTGCAGCTTGCTGATCAGTCAAGTGCAAACATTTGACAGTGGTACATATGAGGTAAAGGTGACTGTTTCAGCTGACAAATACCTGTGGCAATTCAGTCGGTTTCTTACTGCTACGCTGAAAATCACAGGTAAGAAATGTTCAGTGTGAGACTCACCCAATGGGAAAGCTCTGTTTTCTATGTGTGTATCTGTGTGTGTGTTTTCCCTAAGAAGCATCTGCAGTGTTTAAATTGGTAGCTTTCAGTCTACAAATAATGCAAGATTAAAGCAATGTGTATTCCATGAGACCTTATACCTTGGGGCTCCCATCAGGCTTCCTGTCCCTCATTGGCTTTAAAAAAAATCTCTCCCCTCTCCTTTGTCTACATTTTGGATTGTCTTCAAAACTTCAGGTCACAAGAAGGATAAAAGAAACAGGTTTCAGTTTATCACAGAATCATTGGTGCAGTCACACAAACAGCTTGGTCCTTGATAAAACATACCTCAGCATGGAAAAACATGCTTAAGCCAGGTTAGGTTTGTTATGGCTTAGCATATGGTGAAAACCCAGGTCATTTTGTCTGTTGATGAGTCAATCTAATGCACAAACCCAGAAAAAGGTTTAATTTACTAACCATGTAACAAATAAAATAATTGGTTGGGTTTGGTCAACACACATAAGTTGGTTGCTGAATTAATTCATTTTCTCAGTTTGTACAATCTATTTTTATTGATTTTACTGGGCTTATATATCATTAACAACTCTGTGCGACATACTAACCATCCCACATCAACTGGGTTAAAAACAATCCAATAAAAAGAAAAAAAATCAATAATACTATACAACCTACATACAACCCCAGGAACAATAATCAATATAACCAACAATTAAAAGAACTTTCACTATCAGAGACAACAAGGTCATGGCATTCCAGCTTTTACTGTACCACAAGCTAACACAAATGGCTGGGTTCACCCTACTAGCTAAGCTACATGAATAAAACATACCAACTTTAGCATGTGTAAATAGAACCACCAGGTCTTTAAGAGGCTTGGGCAAGGATGTTGAGCGAACCCCATAACTGAAGGGGTGTAGGTTTTTAGGAAGAGTCTGGACAGACACCTCTCATGGATGGTTTAATTGGTTTCCCTGTACATTGTGGAGGGTTGGACTAGATCAGTGTTCCTCAGCCTTGGCAGCTTGAAGATGTGTGGACTTCAACTCCCAGAATTCTGGGAGTTGAAGTTCACACATCTTCAAGCTGCAAAGGTTGAGGAACACTGGACTAGATGATCCCCATGGTCCCTTTCAACCCTACAAGTTTATGATTTAGACCCCAGAATCCAATCTCCTGCTCCACAGAACTTCCCAAACAGGTCATGGCTCAGCCTCTGTTTGAACAGACACAGGGAAGGACCATCCACCATGCCACTTAGTGATAGGTGCCATTGTTGAATAGCTTTTACCATTTTCCTAATCTTCATTTGGAATCTGCTTTCCTGATACATAAGCCTATTAGTTCTATGTTCAGCAGCCTGGAATAATAGAGATAATACAACTCATGACCCTCTCCTGGGTAATAATAGTTTCCATTACTTGGAGAGGAATCTTATAGCCTCCCCCTTTATTCTTCTCTTTCTTCAAAGGCTGATTTTAGTATCTTCTGTGCTTAGTCTAAGGGTGTGTGATTGATTTTACTTTCTCATTTGCAGAGTCCCCTCCAGAACCCACCCTGGAAATTGTTCCTGTGAACATCCAGGAGAGGAAGATAACCCAAGTGATATGTTCAGTACCTTACCATTGCCCTCGTAAGCTCATAAGCTTGAATTTCAGTGGTTTAGAAGAGCATTTCCCAGCCCAGGAAAGGACAGTTGGAAATGGAGTGATTCAGACTGTGCTGAGTTTTGAACCAACATGGGAGGACAATGAGAAAATGCTGCGCTGTTTGTTGAGGTCAGGGGCAGAAGTGTTATCTCAAAGCTCTAAGAAGTTGGATGTGACATGTAAGTGTACAGTAGGGAAGGAAACAGCCCTTTTGAATGATGGTGCCATTAGGACAGGATTTGGAATTAGAAGCCTAGGAACCCACTCAGCAGAATGAGCAGAAGGCTTCCAAACATAGCATAGTTAGTTCTGAAACAAATAAAGTCATATACCTTACAGTGTGAAGAGGGGACAACTGATATAACTATGAAGACTACAGTTTGGAACCATATAACTGACTGATTTGGGGGATTGAGAAAGTTCTACCCAAGATGACTTTAAAGAACTTGGGAAAGTAGTAAAGTTTCTTTTAAGTTGAGTTGACTCCAGTTGACTTAATGGACACATTCATGTCATTTTCTTGGCAGCAGTAGGAAAATAGTTTGTTAATCCTTCTTCCAGTATGTTTTTTTGATTTCTCAGTCTAATGTACAATCCTGGGATTTCAAGGTGGGCGCCCATCAAACTTCTAACCAGGCCTGACACAGCTTAATTTTCCAAGATCTGCTAAAGTCAGATAGGCATTATGATCTGCTAGGACTTTAATAAGCTGACATGAAAGCTGAAATTTAAGAAGCTCCAGGACTAAATCTTGTGAAGTTCAATGGTATTGACATCTCTGTGTATATATAAGAGAGTCCACACATGTGCTGCGCTGAATGTTCTGTTGCTATGTAGTTCCTTCAAAAAATGGGAAATAGCATGAGAAGTGAGACTTGATTTAAATACACCATTTTCTATATTTCTCTTTTCCCCTAATAACATCTTATGTGTGCTCTGCATTGGGCCATTCTTCTGTTGATGGATGTGGGTCATAGAAGCTACAGTGAAGAAGGCAATCTGGAATAAAGGGAGGAATTAGGCCAGTGTTTCTCAATCTCAGCAACTTTAAGATATGTGGATTTCAACTCCAAGAATTTCCCAGCCTGCATGCTGGCTGGGGAGTTCTGGGAGTTGAAATCCACATATCTTAAAGTTCATATTTCTTGGTCAGGGATTGTTTCAACGAGTTTACTTTTGCCAGGCAATATTGTTCTATACATGCACATTCATTATAATATTACTCCTATCTATTTCCTCCACAAAGTGACATATTGATTTGATTTTCCAGATGCTCCCAAGGTTGTCCAGCTTGCTCTTTTAAATGATCTGCCCATAAAGGAAGGAGATACTATCACGATGAACTGCTCTTTTGGCAGTAGTAAGCCCAATGATAATTGGTACAACTGGTTTAAGTCAGATCCCTCTATGATTGAATATAAATATAGTGGTCCAAATATATTGAGCTTCCCTGCAACAACTGGACCTTACAACACTTCTTATAAATGTGAAATATGCAACAGGATTGGCTGCACTTCATCTCCAGAAGTTACACTGGAGGTCTTCTGTGAGTAACACTAATTAACTTACAGGTTTCAAGCCTTGAAACACCAAAGAAAGGAAATAGGATTATAGTTCTCAGAAGACATGGTTTTTTGGGGGGGAAGGCATTTACAAAATCTGCCCACCTAATCCAGGCAGAGAATGCCTGCTTAGGGTCTCCACCTACCAGAAGAGGTGACGGGAGGTGGCCTGAAGGCTGGTGTTTTCTATAGGGAATCCTTCCTGTGGAAATGGCCTCCTATGGAACCACAAGGATGGCCCTACTGTCATGGATTTTCCAGAGGGTCTTTTAGGGGTCATTGATATAAAATTTAATTTTATTGTATTATATAATAATCACAATAACAACAATAACAATAATAATAATCACCTTGGGTGCAATCCAAAACATCTGGAACACCACTTAAAGACCATCGGCATTGACAAAATCACCATCAGTCAATTGCAAAATTGCAATTGCAGCTTTACTTGGAACAGCTTATATCCTGCGATGATACCTTTCACACCATCAAACAAAAACATCTGCCTA